ATTTTAATTCCTTTTCTCTTTAGACGTTTTTACTGACACTTGACGGTTGAGTGCCAACAGCTGGTTCGAGTATTGCTGGCCGGGTTGAAACTAAGTGATAACAAGCTTCTAATGGCAGGAGAGAAACATGAGAGCCGAAGCAAGAATTAAAGATGTTTTAAAAGATGAATGTTGGAAGTGGTGGGTGTTTGGAAATAATAAAACCAGTACTTGAATGTTTTTTTTTCACTGGGACTTTATTTGTTGAAATTAGAAAACTGCTTTTTTATCAGTGTGATTGCCAGGATCTTTTTAATTTGTTCATTTGAAATCAGACTGCTTCTTCGTGGATGAAAGTATAAATGTTTCTAAATTAGATGGAGGATTTGTAGTTGTTCTTTTCAAATAGTCTTAATAATCTGAATGTATAATCTTTTGCTCTTGTTTTTTTTTTTTAAAACAAACAACAACAAAAGATGTGAGGACAGTTAGCTTGTCTGAGAACTTTAGCAGAAGGAATATTAATTTGGTTGTATGAATATATCTAATTATTCCTTTTATTTTTAAAAAAAAGTGAAAGATGCTTTAAATACTTCAAAAGCAAAGGGCAGCGTAATTAAAGATATGACACTTTTTCTTAACTAAATAACAAAAGTAATTGTTTTCCAATTAGTAACAGACCTACATCCACACTCAACAGGCACTTTGTTAGGTCCACCTGCATGGCTACTTTAAGTGCAAACATTCATCAGCACAACTCAATAACTTAGACATGCAGACACAAGCAAGACATTCTGAAGTTCAAACGTCAGATGAAAGGTGACTCATGGTTGTGGTGGGGATATGCCTGCACAACCATCTTTGGGGTTTACATAAAATTGTCTGAATGACAGCAAATATCCAGTAAGCAGCAGGTCTCTGGGTAAAAATTACTTTTTAGAGCTGATAGAGAAGCAACAGTAACTCCAAAGTCCTTACAGCCAAGATGAGCAGTAGAGCTGTGGTATAAGACCACACTGGTCCTGAGATAGACCAATAGACATATAGTTAATTAACTATTACTCATCGTAGGGAAAAATTCCCTTATTAGAAAAACACCATAAACAGACATGAGAACAGGAAACTGAGGTCCTCGCTCACACAGGAGATGAAGATATTTTAAATTATCTGCAATAATAACTGAATCAGTTTGCTCATTAAAGCTAGACTTTTAAAAAAGTGTTCAATTGGTTTGGCACATTTAGTCCTCCGTAAATACACGGTTGGTTTTCAATAATGCTGGTTAGTACAGGACCCACACGGCGCTTTCTCTGACTGACAAAGGAGCATGAACTGATTTCCTTTTTCTTTTTTTTCTTTTTTTTCTTTTTTTTCGATTGATTGTAATTGTTTAAAGTCACTTTGGGCTTCTGGGCTCCAGGAGCCGATATGGAGCCGGTGATCCCTTTGGGCGGATGCGAAGTGTCAAAAAGGGATCGAGATCAGAAAAATCAGGCCAAGAGGACGAGTTATTCCTTTATTTTACTTATAACGCCTTTAAACCCTGTTGGCTACAGACTATTTACCAATACAAGCAAAGTTATTACACATGGGAAACACAGAAACATTGGCAATTATATTTTGGCACCTCGCGTTTTCTTAGTGGACTCTCAAAGACGCATTTTCAGCGGGAAATGTGTCGCGGTTCAGACTCTGTACCTGAAAATAATCAGAGCACAGAGTGTCTGCAGCTGTTTAAATTAACTCCAAAGTAAACAAAATCAGTTTTAGCGTCTTAAAGTTATTTCAACCTCATCTTCACTCAAATATT